TTAAAAGAGCAAACTAACATCTCAATTGACATCATTTTCAGTTTGCTAAATGTCTTTCTTCCACATTAATTATATATGGGAAAGGTTTATCACTGTGTAGCATCCCCTCTTCTTTTAACAACAGTGTTTGACTCAACATTGAGCAAAGTCATCTAAATCAGAGGAAAGTCACATACTGTTCTACCTGTACGATTGCTTCTAGAGAATTGATTGTGCTATTTTATTCACATTCATTTATTGTTACTTTCAGTGTCAATTTAATGACCTGGCCATTGGATTGTGGTTTATTTATTATTACTTTTTTCTGATCATCAATTAGCTACTGACCAGAGTTACAGTCCTTAGCCTATGTTTTTGCTACAAAGCCCTGGTTAACACCTTTATTTGCACATGGAGTTTATTCTTAGTCCTAGACCAAACCAGAAATGCCATATTATTCCATTGTGTTCTTCAGATTGTGTGACAACCCTCTTCTGGAGTCTGGAGTCCAAATCCTGATGGAAGCCCTGCCAGAGAATCAGTCCCTGACAAACTTGTCCCTGATGCACACTGGACTGGGGGATGAGGGTGTCCTGGATCTGGCTAAGAGGCTCCAACAACACAGAAGACTCCAGGAGCTCAACGTGGCCTATAACAATATTGGAGACGACGCAGCTCTACTTCTGGTAGATGCCTGTAGAGAACATCCCAGCATTCAGACTGTACAGTAAGAAACTTCTCACTATATCCAAAGCTCAACATTTCTTTGAGGTTTAGTTGTGCTATAATGTTGTATTGCATAGACTACATTATAAATAAATTCTGATTCCACTGTCCTTTTTGCATTATAAATATTTATTTTTTTATTTATTTTTTCATAGAACACTGAAAGTTTTCGTAACATGAAAAAAGCACCTTACTTACAGTTTGGCATATATTGAATTATAAACCCTGATCTTGTTTTGATGCATGCGTAATGTAAGTTGTAAGTCCAGGTAAGTAAATCTCAATAGGTTGATTCTGTTCATCTGGATGTAGCGTTTTCAGTGGGAGAAACATTTTGTCTTCTTCAGACAGAAGAAGTCATTTGGATGAGTGACAAAACATTTCTCCCACTGAAAATGCTACGTCCAGATGAACAGAATCAACCTTTTGGGAATCCTGATATTGTGTCATCAGATAATTGATAGAATTTATCAATTTATTACTCCTGTGAGTGAGACCAAGAACATTTTAAAATGGACTACATATGGTGAAATGCAAAAGGCCTCAGAGACGCACCAAAAGCATGCAGTCTTTCATGCAAGCCCTACAGAATTTTTTTTTGTCCATGTCTTTGTGCAGTTTATATTTGAACCCTCTCAGTAAAGTGGCGAAGCAGTCCCTGTATGCCCGAGGTGTTCCCCGTAGCCACAGTGGCCAACGGGTCAAGGTCCTGGCTTCTGTCACTGAAGGGACAGACCTCTCTGAGAACTGGCGGAACATTCTCAGTGTTATACGAGAGAACTCCTCATCCTGGGATCAGCAGCATGTCATACAGCAACTAAAGGTATATACATACAGTACAATGTAAATGTAAAAATGTACATAAAACATGTCATTTAAAAAAGGATTCATACTGTGTGGGTTTTTAAAAGCCTGTTTTTTTTAAATAATAGGTTAAGCTCAGTATTTTTAAGATACTTGTGTTTAAGTGTTTATAAACAAGACATGAGAGACCAGCCAGCTGGTGTTTTTCACCTGCAAACATCGTCCCACCACTTTATTAAATCTAGGCCAATCCATTCCACATTTATAGGTT